CCTTGCTCCCCTCTGTGGCTGGGGGGGGACACAAGTGACCTTGGTTTTGCAGGCCACCCACATTCAACTTCTACAAAATTCCCCGGCCATCCACGAGGCATTAGCCCCCGCTGCCCACAGCATGGGCATGGAGGAGATGGACACGGCTGACCCGTCTGCTGCGCCTTCTCCCTGGGTGCCGGGGAGCAGGTTGGGACTGCCCCGGCTGAAACCCTCCCTCCCCAGATGCCCTGGTGTGTGTGTGTGTGTGGGGCTGCCCCTTGCACTGCCCCAGGCAGGACTTTACCCCCACCCCCGATGGGCTCAGGGCAGCTCACACTGTCCATGCCACCGCAGCCTTTGCTCTGCCAGCCAGTGGGAGCCCACTCACCCAGGCCCCTTGCTCGAAAAATGTGACTCTATTTTTGTAGGGAGCCTGACTTTTTCCAAGGTTGTGATTTTTTTATTTTTGCTGTCAAACAATAAAATGGTGTGTTTGTGTGCACTGCAGGCATGCGGCTGCGCTCTTCACGTCTGGCTGCGATGGAAGGGTGCAGGGGTAGGGGCAGGGAGGGTTTCCCACTGCTGGCACAAGCTGGGGCTGTGCCTGGGACTAGAATGCTCTTGCTGGGGTCCCCAAGTATGCTCTGCCCACAGCCAGCTCTTGGAGTCCTGACCTAGCCCATGGGTCGATGCAGGACCACTGCTCAGCATCACTGGGGATGGGTGACATTCCCCTCACCGGGCAGCCCTTTGCACCTGTGGCTGGGTGGGTGCCAGGTCCTTCCCTGGGAAAAGACACGCCAAAAGCCTCCCGTCCATGAGGAGCACGGGTGACCCTGCTATGTGTCATCTGTGGGTTTTCAGTTAGTTTATGGGGTGCCTGTAGCCTGTACCTCCCTCCCTCTACTGGGTATGGTGGCATGGGGACTTCCAGTGTCCACCCCTGCATGTCCCACACTGCTGCACGGCACGAATGGGCACAGCGAGAGCTGCATGCACAGATAAGCCAAGGGCAACTTGGTCTGCACCAGTGGTGGGGCAAGTGCAGGTGTTGCTTTGTGCTGTTCCTTGGCACAAGCACAGGGACCATCCCAAAAGCTGGGTCAGGCATGGAGGACGTATGTGAGCAGCTTGACTCATTTCCTTCGTTGCAAAGTCTAGATCTCTCTGGAGTAAGTGGCAAGGCTGAGCTGGCCGGCTCGCCCTCCGCTACGTGCATCTGCTTTATTGCTTTTTCCATTTGCCTTCAGATCTTCTAATTGCTATTTTTTTCCTTCAGGCGTTATCTGAAGCTGCACCAGCCTTACCTCCTGCTATCTCCCCCCAGCACCCGTCCTGACCACAAAGAGAGCCGTGCTTGCCTATCACCCAGCTGAATCTGTCCTGTGTGGTGGCTCAGCCCCTGCTTCCCCCAGGGATGCCCACCCTTTCTGGTCCTTGGGGCGGGATTTCCCAGCACCCCCCTTGGAGAGCACTTAGCTCAGGTTTGTCTACACTCGCTCTGCCTTTGCTCTCCCCCACCCTGAACCCTCAACCTCCTGAGTTGTGACGGTTTTGTGCTTGTCTATGGGCTGTGTGTGGAGGTTTCCATCCCCAAACCCCACGCTGTCCCCTCCGCACAGCATCCTCTGCTTCCTCTTCCCTTGCTGTGCCTCGGGGACACCAGCCCACACAGGACGGCTGCTGGCTTCAGTTTCCGCTCGCTGGCTTTGCGGGTGCTGCTCCCTCCCTGCTCCCCTCTCTGCTCAGCCTCCAGCCACGGTCTTTCCTTGTCTGCAGCGCTGGAAGGCAGGGAGCTTGACCCTCCTTATTTGCTGCACCACTGTGGCCACCTGCATCCAAAACCAGCCCTGGCAATGAAAATCTCCACCTCCCCCAAATTACTGCACAGCCTTTGCCAAGGCATGGGGCTTGCTCTCAGCAGCTTCCCATTCAGCGCTGCCCCAGGGCAGCATCCCAGGCCCTGAAGCTGTGGCTCTGAGAGGGGCCTGGGTCCATCCTCCTCCTCCTGAGCAGCCCTGGGAGGCGGGCAAGAGCAGCGTCAGGCAGGGCCAGCACCTACTTGGGGAAGAGGTGAGGATGGCTCATTGCAAAATGCCCAGAGTGGCTGCTGCCAGCTCTCCTTTCAGGCCATGTTCCCTCCGCTCACAGGAGTGGCATCTGCCAGAATCCACTTCCCTTGCATGGGAGGGAAACTTGCAGCGCCCCAGGGCCACAGCACGAGGCCCACCATAAGGAAGGTCTCATCGATCACCAGCCAGCTTCTAGAACTGTTGCAGCAGTTCCTCTTCCCCTTTGCCAGGCTCTTTTCCACCACAGGGACTTTCTGCAGCCGAGCCCTTCTCTGGGGGAGGTCCTGCCACATCTTTACAGTGGTTTGACAAACCGTGATCCCTCCAACGGCAGCTCTGCCGCTGCGTGCCCAAGGCAGCAGACTCCCGCCGGGGCCAGCCTCATGCTCCCTGTTGCTGGTTTTCCAGCCAGGAACAAAGGGGCAAGTTGCAGCTCTTGAGATAAAATTCTCCCTTCCTCAACCCTACCTTGGGCCCAGCCACAACTCCCCCAACAAGAAGCCCCAATGGCCTTTGGGGGTTGCTTGTGGCACCAAGCAGCTGCAGAGAGGACGGGAGTGAAGCCCAGGTAGGTCTCCTTGCTCGCAGCAACGTGTGGGCTTGCCTTTGCTGAGCTCGCAGCAACGTGTGGGCTTGCCTTTGCTGAGCCATACACTGCCTGCGATGGCCCTTCTGGGATGGTCGCCTGCCTGCCGGTGCAGAGTCCTGCCTCCCTGGCTTCGTAGCGGTAAAGGGCCGAGTGCCATGGAGGAATTGGGCTGTCCAGGCCCAGCTGGATCTCCAAGCCCGGCACGTACCAGCGGTGAGCCACACTGGGCAGTACCATGGTGAGTTGAGCTTGGCCACTTTTCACTTTTGCCTTCCTCCTAAGGGTCTGCATCATCAAAACATCCACCATCACCCCAGCACTGCTTTAGGAACCTTTATTTTTAAAAGGACTCTTCCACACTTCACCCCACTCTCAAGAGGGCTAATGCAGGTGACTCTCCCCCATCCCATCCCAGCCAGGTTCTGCCAGCCCGGCAAGGTGAGACACAGCTCCTTCACACCACAGCCCGTGTGCCGGGGCAAAGCCACAGCCCGGGTCTCTCTCCCGGAGGAGGGGGCCAGGCAGCGAGCACCGGAGAGAGGCTGGAACCTGGATCTTCCTGCACAACCGCTCTCAAGTTACACTGACTTTGCAAACAGAGGCACAATATGAGCCAGACAACCCTGACAAAGCCCCTTTGTGTGCAAAGGGCAAAGGTAGAGGAGATGGGAACAGAGGGCCCGGGCGTCCTGCAGCATAATCTAAGCTTCCACAAAGGAAAGGGGGAGGCAGGGCCGGCCCCAAGCTCACACAGGCTGCTGCCAGCTTCTCAGCTTAGAAGAGAGTTCGGGTACCATCTGGGATAGAGAGATAAGGGAATTAGGCTGCTCTCTTCAGCTAAGTAGCTGCAATCAGTCACAGCTACAGGACTGATCCCAGAGGAATTGCAGCGAGACAGCGCACAGAGTGCTGCAGCTGCCAGTGCATGTGCTGGGACCCCCAGTACCACAGGGCTGCGCCACACGGGCATTTAGCATCTGACTGAGCCCAGAGCAGCAGGACTCGGTGACCCCACTGCAAGAAACATACCCAGTTTCTCACAGGCAGAGCTTGGAGGCGGCACCCAACCCACTGAGCGGAGAACGGTGCGGGGAAAGACTGTGTGTGTCCCTGCCCACCACTCCACCACCACTCCTAGAGGATCAGGGAAGTACAAGTGAAGTTATAAAGGAGCCAAGCAAACCGAAAACAAAGTGCTTTGGGCAGGGAGCAGTTCTGTAGTCCTGTAGTGCAGCCAGCACTTTCATCTGCAAATGCACCCGGCATTTGCTCCTCCACTGGGGCACACACAATTGCACTTGCTAGATATAGCCAGAAAGCCTGCCCTGGCTTCAGGTGGGATCCCCCAACACCAGCCACCCAACAGACTCTTTGAGATGCTGCTGCAGGGAGGCTTCAGAAAGGAGCAGGCTCCATACTGCCAGGCAGGGCAGGATTTCCTGGGGTGGATGCGGCTTTCCCCTCCTCGTGCACCCGAGGCTTGGGATCCCATTGTGCTTCCCCGTTTCATGCAGTGTCACCCTGTACCAGCGCCGAGGGGGAGGAAGTCCTTGCGATGGGTGGCTGAGAGGCATCGTCGGCTGCTGCTTTTGAGGGGATCTTGTGTTCTCGGGGTGGGGTAGGAGGGGGGAAGATGGGGCTCTGCAAGGCATCCGAGTACATCTCGTCCTGGATGCAGGGACGCTGTACAACCCTTTGCAGCAACGGCTTGAGCAATCCTACAGTCAGCTGGTTTCCCTCGCTGGAGAAGGGCACTGGGTCCTCCTGGGAACAAGGGAGATGCTGCAGAACCACGGCGAGGATGTCCGAGGCGGTAAGCTCAGCGGGGCACAGCGGCCACAGTGTATCCAGATAAGGGTCCAGCTCCCGGTGCTGGGCAAACTCCGCCAGCAGTGTGGTGAATATCTCCTTGTTAAGCAAGAGGCTGAGCTTGGAGAACTTCTCTGCCACCTCCACCACCCGCTGCCACCGCTTCAGGCGGATGAGAAGGTGCAGAGCTTGCAGCACAGCCTTAGGCCTCTTGCTGCAGAGCAGCAGTTCGAGCTCCATCTCCTCATCTGCCTCGCTGCGCTTATTCTTCCTGGCCAGTACTCCCAGTGCTCTCTTGTACAGTGGCACCCGGCCCTCTGGGCCCTCCTTGCTGCTGTATGCCCAAGAGATGCTAACGTACTGCTGGGTCAGCTCCACAAAACTGGGCAGCCACTTGGGTTTGAACCTCAGGAATGAGGCACAGATGAGCTCGAAGAGTGGGACCACCCCATTCTGACCAACCTCCTCCTGCTGCGGCCCTCCCAGGACCTTCTTCCACACCTCCGGGGTGGCCCTGGCTACCAAGAGGCCGTCCCCATTCTGCTGCAGCTGCAGGCAGCTCCTCGTGGCCTTCCAGGCAGCCTTGGGGAAGGAGGCAAAGACAGAGTTCAGGTAGGCCAAGTTGTCCTTGTCCATGTCAGAGTGCAGAACGCGGCTGACCTCCTGCTCCACCAGTTCCTCGCAGTAGCTTTCCACCTCACTCTCTGGGGCACACACCACGCAGGTCTTGAGGAGCTCCAGGCTCATGTAGCTCTGCAGCTCCAGGCTCATTGTGCTCAACAGCTTGGCGTAAGTGTCTTGGAGGCCTCGGGCTGGCTTCTGCTTCTGGCGGAGGCTGTGCTGCAGGATGGCAGCGAGGGCCACAGGAGCCTGGAACACACCACCTTTCTTCAATTTCTCCACCGTCAGCTTGGAGCTGCTGAGGCTCCTCCTCTGATAGTATCTGCAGGCCTCCTCAAACACCATCTCCACCAGGCACGGCTCAGGCCTGATGCTGTCCTCAGGTTTGGAGAAGCTAAAGCTGTAGATGCCAGTTTGAGTGAGGAGCTGGATGCTGTCCTCCTCTCCCAGGGGATCCAGGAAATGCACCTGTTTCATGTTCAGGATTTTCTTTTCTATGAGCCTTCCACTGTTCTGGTCGACGAGGTACAGGACCCCAGCCAGCACACAGGCCAGGATGCTGCCAAAGGTCTTCAGCTGGACAGGACTTCCTTGGGCCAGGGGGCCCCCCTCCAGGTCAAAGATATGCCTCTGTGTCCCATCTGGCTCCACCATGTTCACAGCACCCTTCGTGCTTACCAGCAGCAGACCCCCACTGTTGGACACAGTGGAGGTGTGAATGTCCAGAGGTGCCAAACCTGAGAGAATACCCACAGAGCCAAGCAGGAGCTTCCTGAAGTCTGACTCGCTGCTGGAGTGCAGCACCTTGCTGTGAACAAAGCCTGCAGAAGGGGCTGTAATGGTGAGCTTTGCCTTCTCGGGATGCCAGACGAGGAGGAATTTGGAAGTGGTGGCAAAGCTGGCAGTGGCAGGCACCAGGAAGACGTGCTGGGGGGAGGCCAGGACCTCGTACTCAGGGCTGTTGTGCAGGACTATACTTACAGTGCCCAGCCGCACGCCTTGCTCCCCCACCTCCAGAGCCCGGGTGCAGACGCAGAACCTGAAGGCACACTTGCTCATGTCTGAGTGGGCGTCCAGGGGAGGCCTCTCCTCACACCACACCAGGCCGGCTCCCTGGCTGCACACAGAGACGATTCGTGCCCGGGCACCCTGGCAGAGCTC